CATGGCAGGGGGGTTGGAACTAGATGATCTTAAGGTCCTTTACAACCCTAACTATTCTATGAGTCTATGATTCTATGAAGGTTCCGAGATGTGCCTTCCCCTGAGGTCCAGGATAAACAGAGTGGGCTGTGCCAGATGGAAAAGCTCAGCCCCTACAGAAGGCAACAGCACACACGGCCTGGGAAGGGCTCTACATTAGCTTCTCTAGCCAGGCCAGGACCTACGCATGTGGCTCAAAGGTAGCAGGAACAGGTGACAAGCAGAGCCTGTCACAATGGCAGGATCACTCTTTGTGGCAGCACTGAAAGGCAGCTCCCTATCTCACACCTAGAAACACTACAGGACTCAGGGGAAGGGGGGACGGACAGATGTTTGTGGCCACTGCACGCAGTAATAAGTGCAGGACTTTGTACCTCTACCTGGGCAAAGAAGCAGCAGGACAATAGACTCCATCTATCTTGTGCAGATTAACTAACAGCAAGCTCAGACCTGACCACCTTCACCCTCTGCCTCACCCCATCCCTCCAACTCACAAGGTTGTGCCCTGAGCTGCAAGCCATGTCAGCAGCTACAGCAAAATTGACAAGAGTTTTCTATTCTATGCTATATGGAGTTCTGCTATAGAAACACAAAGGGCCAGAACTATTCCTCCTCAGCAAACCTGAGCTCACAGCAATTAGGGGAGTACTCAGAAGAATCTACTTTGATGGCTTCGATGGCACTAAGGCTGCTCTACTCGCCCCTTTACAGCAGGATGCCCAGGGTCACCCTGAGAATGAGGAGGAAGCAGCAGAAGTCACATCTGCATGGGGCTGCTGGATTACCCCTCTGGGGCAGCATGATCATGTCACACCTGCCTCTTTGCCTTCCACAACACAAGTACTTCTGCCTGCGATGGGCTGCCCTGGGAGTGCCGCTCAGGAGGCTCAGAGGGAACCAGCTCGAAACCAGCTGCTGCCAGAGCATCAGGTACTGGGTTTCTGTAGAAAGAAGATTTGTGAGTGGGGTTGGGTGCACCATGGCTCTCTTCCCATCACAGATGAGGCTGCCCAACCCCAGTGGAAGGCTCCACAAGGCACTGGGGCTGTCATCCCCGGCCTCCCACGGTCCTGCCCAGAGCCCACAAGAGAAGAACTAGAGCTGCCTCCTCCCAGGGGAAGCAGGGAGAGGATGCTGTGCTGCTGCTAGACACAAGCATCCAAGGGGGACTGGATCCCTCCAGCTCTTGTACCACCTCTTGTACCCCAAGGCAGACCTCTGCAACAAGGCTGAGGAAGAGTACAGAGCTGAGCCAAACTTAGTGTCACCCCAGCAAGGGGGTGCTGGCATGGAGGTGCCCCAGGATTGAGGGTGTCTATGGGGAAGGAGGGCAGCGCTTTGCCTGGAGCCATGTTTCAGCCCCCAGGAACTCACCTTCAAGATCCAGCTTTGCCTTGATGCTTTCAATCACGCGGGCGTTGGGTGAGAAAAAGGCACCGAAGGACAGAATAGCCTGGAAACAGATGGGCACAAACCTCAGCACAGATAGGCATCACTCGCTGCAGTAAACACTTCTCTCCCAAGCAGCAGAGACTGCTTCACAGACATTGGGACTGAAACCACTCACCGTCATGAAGGTTTTAGCCACGGCAGACCTTTCAGAGGGCTGGTTCACAAAGGCTTGCAGCGTCCTGAACTGCCCGAACAGTGACCTGCAGGACAGGAGGTAACATAGATTAACACAGCAGATAAACCAAGGGCTGCACGATTCCCTGTTGCCCCCTTTGCAGGCCACAGTCCCAAAGGAACAGCCCTCCCCATCACATCCGCCGGGTCCAACAAGAAGTACTTACCTGATCTGCTTCTGCAGCGCCCATATGTTCTCCAGCCCCTGGATCTGAGCCATGCAGGCTGCCACCCTTCGCAGGAAAGATGAACAGCACGGAGGGAAAACAGGCTTTGTTAGTTAGAGTGACACCTCACCCGGCTTTGGGAAGGCGTAAGCCCTGCCCAGTCCTGCAGAGAATCACCACGCCAATCCCTAAGGATGCTCGGTCCTAGCGGCACTCCAGCCCTGTACATTCATGATGTCAGGCTAGCACCAGGATTGTACAGAGCAAGCTCTGTGCGTCTCCAAGGTGATGCCCTGAGCCTCTGAGAGCCCAGAGGGTCTGCCTTTCTTGGTGTGTAGGGTGGCAAGACCCCAGCAGCAGCACAGCACGGTGGCTTGTGTCTGGTCCCTCTGCTCCCAATCCCCAGCCATGTATTTGGCACAAGTAAGACTGTTTTGTACTAGTGGTGGAGCAGCCGTTCCCTGTGACCCAGTGGGCTATGTACTTATTCCCTTCTTGTTATTGGGCCCTGAAGGTCCTGTGCACCAAGTAGACAAAACCCCCAGATTCCTCATTCCCTTCTGTCCCCACCACAAGGATTCTGAGTGAAACGCTGCTTATTCTGCTTTCTTGCTGGCCTTGATGGTCCCTGGCACCTTGCCATCCCCACTGTGTTGATGGCCCTGTCAGAGCAGGGACGTGTAACAGCACAGAAAGTACTGTCCTTAATACGAAGTACTTACAGATCCTAAGAGGGGACCTGAGGCTGGTGCTGAGCAGCGAGACTGAAGACCGCCTTGGTCAGGAGCGCCTCCACCACCACCATAGGTCTTCTCCCCTCACGATGGAGGGAGTGACTCATATTCCTTTATGTAATTTTTGAGTCTAATTATAATTGCTATATTGATACAGCAAACTACGTATTAAGGTCTGACCCGATCTGCAGAGGGTCCACGTGATGAAAAATCCTAAGTCAAGTTGTATTAGTATCTAGGTTATTAGAAATCATAAGTTGTATTATAAGTTCTGTATTACACTGGTTATAGATTGTACTACATCCACTCTGCTTGCAGAAAGCCCGTGCCACTCTAATAATAACTTCAGTGCTATACTAGTCATAATAGATTAAGAGCACCAAGTTGTAACTGAAATTTTATTTAAGCCTGAAGAACAAAAAGCTCAGGGGAGATATTAAAGCTGCTTCCAGGACTTAAAGGAGCCTACAGGAAAGGTGTAGAGGAAAGTTTTTCATAGGTAAGTAGGGATAGAACAAGGCAGGATGGTGTTAAACTGACAGAGGGGAGACTTAGAACAGATATAAAGAAGAAATTCTTCGCTATGAGGAAGCTAAGGCACTGGCACAGCGTGTCCAGAGAAGCTGTAGCTGCTGGCAGTGTTGAAAGACAGGTTGGATGGAGCAACCTGGCCTAGTGTAAGGTGACCACGGCAGGGGGTTAGAAGTGGATGAGCTTTGCTGTCACAACACAAAACACACGATTCTATGCAACTACAATGGAGTACTGCAAAGTACCCATAAAGGAATCTGTCTGTCTCCCCAGTGCTGGGTGACACTACTGTGTGCTCCTACTTGTTTTCCAGGTTACGCATATTCCTCTTCTTTCTGGAGTAGATATTCTGGGTCGACTGCCTGTTCCGGACCTTGCGACGTACCTTCTTCTTAAGCTGGTCTTTAACCTGCAAGGGTCATTTCTCCTTAGGAGCAAACATTGGCAATACAACCTTCATAAACCCTGCATACACCTCAAATCTCAGCCCTTGTGGTTTTGCCCTCTGCACCACCACCACCACCACCACTACCACCTCCAGAAAAGCACAGGCTGCTGATGTGGACAGCAGCTTCTCCAGCATGGCAAAAGCAAGGCATACCTAAGGGAGTCGAAAAGCACATAGCTCACAAGCAAGGGAGTAATATAATAGATTGGAGGCACTTGTGGTATAACTGCCTCCTGCAAGCAGTTGTGACTGGGGAGACAGACAGCAGCCAGGTCTCATTGCTCTTTATATCTATCTGATTAACAAAGCTGAGGCTGCAGTACACATGAACATCCCCAAGGCCTTGAAGGGTGGAAAAGAACACCAAAGCCTACCCCACGCTGCCTCAACACAGCAGCTGGGCAGCAGTGCTCTCATGAAAACATCACCCTGCATTTTCAAACCCCTACTCTGGCTGAAGCATTTGAGCGGTCCAAGTGTGTTTGGGAGAGAGAGACAGCAGCAAGGGCTCACCTGGGGCAGTGGCAGATAAGTGAACTCTTCAGCCATCAGGAGCTGCTTCTGCTCCTCCGTCAGGACCAGCTCTGGGAAGCTTGCCTAGAAAACAGTGAGAATACGCCTGCTGAGAATACAAAGCAAAAGGAGTTTACACTGGGGCAGAGAAGACATGCAGAAAGGACGCAGAACCAGGAACCGCTCCACCGAAGAGGCATCATGCTTTCCTCAGAGATATCCCTCACAGAAAGCAAGCCAGGAGAGAAGAGGAGATGTGAGCAGAGGCAAAGATTGGGGTCACACGCTCGGCAGTCCATACCTGCATAGTGATGGCAGGCTCAACCCGGGGTACGGCATGCACAGGAGCTGGAACTGGGAAACCAGAGGTCGATACCAGGGCCGTGCTTGTGCCTTCCACTCCTTGCCAATCGCCTGGGGAAGGAAAGGAGAGTGCAACACTGGGCCTCAGCGAGGCTGTGCCCAACTGGTCAGCTCTAAGTAGCATCAAACTGCAATGTTATGGCAACCGAAAGCTACTCTATGTGGTGCTCTCCATTGCTTACTGGCACTCACCCAAAACCCCACAATGTGTGCCTGCAGCCAGGACAGAAAGAGCCCGAGCCCATCACTTACCGACATCAGTGGACGTATTCTCCTCTCCCGTGTCTGCCAGCTCGGATGCTATGCTTTGCAGCAGAGACCAATCCCAGTGGAAAGAGTAGTTGTTATCAACCTGCACAGATTCCGAGTTCTGGGCGCCGCTGGCAGGGTCGGGGGCAGCAACCTCGCTACCAGCCAACTCACTACCAGCAATCTCATTGCCAGCAATCTCGTTGCCAGCAATCTCATTGCCAGCAATCTCATTGCCAGCAATCTCATTGCCAGCAAAGTCGTTGCCAGCAAAGTCGCTGCCAGAAAAGTCGCTGAAGGAAAAGCCGCTGAAACCAAATTCATTGACAAAATTCAGGAGCTGAAGTTGATCCTCTGGAATGCCGGCATCCCCATCAGCAGGTAGACAATCCTGCCGCCTGCCTGCCCTGTTTTGAAAGGGGTTCAGAATGGACGTGATGAAATCGTCCATATCCTTGTCCAGAGGCTGTGGAGAAAAAGCTTTTACTCAGTAGGGAGACAAACATCCTTCATCACAACCCAGCAGCAACTCCTCCCAAACAGCTCACCTCAGGCTCCGGCAGCCCCCAGTCTTCCATCAGAACATTGTCCTCCACTGAGATATCAGGCACAAAACAACCTTCCTTCAGGAGTAATTCAAACAGGTCATCATCTGCCAGGAGAGCCAGGTCATCTGGGCTTGACATCTGTGCAGGACACCCAAAGTGAGCAACGGCACGGAGGAGACTCTAGAACTCCTTCTAGATGTCCCTCAGCCCCTGCAGAGTCTACTGGGCAATGGCAACAGCTGCTGGGGCTCTGCAGCAACAACAAGACCTTGAATACATCCCCAGCAAAGCCATTATGCAAGCCCTGGTGGTCCCAGAACACCGGTTTCCCCGTCAGGTTATTGAAACCCAGCCACAGCAACAGGTGAAGTATTGAAAGAAGCTAGCATTATAACATATTACATAATATTATATAATATCTAATATAATACCAAATACCATAATATAATATAATATAATATAAGCAGGGGGATTGGAAGTAGCTGATCTTAAGGTCCTTTCCAACCCTAACTATTCTGTGATTCTATGATTCTATGACATGATTTATATTATATCATATCAATCATATCATACCATACCGTATTATATATTAATTATATCATATATCAATCATATGTTATATATAATTTTGTATTATATCTTAATTTATGTTGTCTATTTATAGTCTATATCAATTTATATTATATATCAATTTACATTATAATATAATTATGTGATAAATTAAAAAGGTTTTCTTAATGATTAAACAAAGATCAAATGATAATCAGTGAGTGGAAATTAAATGATAATAAACGGTGATTAGACGGCCATAGAATGGTAATTAAACAGTGTTTTGACAGTTTAAACAACAATTTAGACGGTGGTGAAACATTCTGCTGCTTACTACAATTCAAATAATTAAGCTATAGCTGGATACACATAAATTCATAGAATCACAGGCTGGTTTGGGTTGGATGGGACCCTTAAAGCCCATTCAGTTCCAACCTTGGTGCCATGGGCTGGGACCCCTTCCACTAGACCAGGTTGCTTAAATCCCTGTTAAACCTGGTCCACGGTGAGTTACTTTGATTATCTGGCTCATAAGAAATTAGGCTGCAATATTCCAGCATTCCTTGGTGAAGAATTACACTGTTACACGGACTTACACAGATCATTATAGCACTGGTATTTCTATAGTCTCAGGGCACTGTTTGCTCTTTTTGCTCCTCCTTATACCAGGCACCACCAGAAAACTGATCAGATTTAGCAAGAAAACTCCTATACTGTTAGGCTGAATGTAAGCAAACACGACTTACCTTGCTGTAGTATCAAGGTATCAGATGGTGTGTGAAAGGACTCTCAGCCGTAGGTATCAGATGCTGAGTGAAGAGTCTCTCAGTCTCTAGGAGCAACTTTGGCAGACGTCTGCTCCTGGAGAGATCCCTGCTGTGCAGCTCGCTGCTGTACAGGAGATCTCAGTGGGCACAGGGAGGCGAAAAGTATTTATAGGGTAAAGCCATGGACTTGTAGTCAAACCCCACTTGGTGTTTTCGCAACTGTGTCAGTTTTAGTTTTGTCTAGCCCCAGCTTGCGCTGGTGCTGCTATCTCCAGATAAGATGTGTCCTGGACTTCTTGGTGCCGGAGAAGATGCGGCCTTGCATGGTTTTCATGGTTTTCACAGCAGAGCTGCTGTAGGTCAGGCCTGCTTGACCGTGATGCCTGAACCAAAGTCCTGCTCTTTCACCCATGGGGGGGCATACATTATACCCCCCCAGCGTCCATAAGCTTTTACTCACTGCCAGCAATCACAGTCCAGAAAGTACCCGAACCAACAGCCCCAAAACAAAATAAAATCCCACCTAAGAAAAAGAAAGGTGCTGTGCCAGCTGCCTGGGAGCAGAGCAGGCAGATGCTGAGGGGCTGCCGCGTTTGGCCAGCAGAAAGCGGAGCAGTGATGGGAAGGGGCATGGGGCAGAGCCCGCGCAGAGCCAGGGCACATTGCTTCTACACACAAACTGATGCCTTTAGGTCCAGGAGCCGTGCGCCGGGCACGGAAAACCGGGGCAGAGGGCAGCGGGGAAGGTACGGGGAAGGTAACAGAAGACGCTACCCCACGCGGACAACCCATCCGAAGGAGGCCGGGGAGCCTCTCAGCGCGGGGCTCAGCCTCAAGCCCGCAGGGCTCGGGCAGCACGGACAGCGCAGCCTGTCAGAGAGCCGGGGCACCGGGGAAGTACCGCCGGCCACCGGAGGGTGTCAGCGCTGCCGTACTCGGCTACCCTGCCCCGCCGCCGGCCGTCCCGCGGGCACCCCCCTAGGGACCGGCGGGCCCCCTCCGAGGCGCCGCTGGTCGCGGTTCTCCCTTTGCCCACGGTCCCCCTAACCCCGCTCCGCCTTCGCCTCCGCACGGCACCGACGGGTGACGTCCCGCCTACCGGCGAGCCCCGCGCGGTGGGGGCCCGCCCCTCCCGCCGGTGGCACCGGTTATCCTGGGGGCAACGGGGATGTTATGGGGGGAGTGAAACAGGGGTACTGGTGGATGGGCGAGCGCCCCGACGGGAGTTGGGGGGGGGGGGTGCGACGAAAGAAGCTGGGAGCGGGGGGCAAGCAGAGGCGCCGGGGCGCAGGGCCGGGCCCCGCCGGTACCGGGCAGCGCTATCCCTGTGCGCGGGGCCGCGCTGCGGCAGCCCCGGAGGGAGCGCAGCCCCGGGGCTGGATGCTGCTCGGTGCCGAACCGAGCTGTGCCGCCCGGCGGCGCGCCGTGCCCCGGCGCATGCGCGGCGGGGGGCGGCGGGGCGGGAAGCGGGCGGTGCCGCCCCGCTCCGCTCCGCACAGCCTCGGCGGGGCCGCCGCGCTGCTGCTGCCCGCGCACAGGTACGGGGACAGGGCAGTGGGGAGACAGCGGGGCCCGGGGGGGCGGGGGCTGGGGAAGGGGGTTCCGGGGATCGGCCGCGCCCTGGTTCCTGGGGGGCTGCCGGAAACGGATGTCCCGGGGGGACCCCCCCCCCCCATTCCGCCCCGCTCCGGTTACCGGGGAGTGAGGGGGGAGAAGCGTCCCGGTTACCGGGACCGCCCTGCCCCATCGGGGTGCTCTGCGGTGGTACATGGGGTTTCCGGGGCCGGACACGGCTTGATCTGGGTTAAGGGCGCGCCCCGTCTCCCCCCCCCCCCCCCATAACCCTGGGCTGGCGGCACCCGGGTACCGACGCCCACCATGGGACACGGGGCAGCACGGGCTGGGTCCGGCCCCGTTAATCGCAGCCCCGTACTTGCACTGCCCCAGAATAACCGCCGCAGGCCTCGGTCCGAAGTCTCCGCTTCAGGCCCCGTCGAGCATCCCCCGCCTCGGTGGTCCCTAGGGACCGGGCGGGAGAAGCTTGGCCGTGGCCCCCTCGAACCGGGGGGCCTGCGGGGGAGCCGTGCGAAGCGTTCCCCGTGCTTCCTGCCCTCCCTGTGCAGGGGGAAGCGAGAGGGAAGGGTGTCTCCCGCCCGCGGCGTGGCTTTGGGTGGGGACGCCCGAGGACACGCTCCCGATGGCAGTGCCGCAGCCCGGCCGCTCCCGCCCGTGTGCCGGGACGGGGCACTGCGGTGGGTGCTGCGCGGCGGCACCGAGCACCACCTTTGTCCGCCGTGTCCCGGCTGGAGCTGCTAAGCCGGCAAGGGAAGCACAGCCCCGTCCGCTGCCTGTTCCCTGCCCCGTTCTTTGCCTGTTCGCTGTCGGATCCCACCCGTGTCCCTGTGCTCCCTGTCCCTTTGAATCTGCCGGCAGGATGTCTACATGCTTCTGCTGTGGCTTCATCGCTGGCTGTTAGACCCATATTTGGTAGCAATAATTGTTTACTCCCTTCTTCTCTCCCTGAGCCTTGCTGCTTGAGGAGGGGAGGGGTTATATTTTGGGGATCTTGAGATTTGCTACAGCCGGAGGGTTGCCTGGTTAAATGATCCGATCCCCCCACTTCCTTCAGGCCATGGTGTGACCCCCCCCAAGTGCTAAATGAGCAGGGATGAGCACTGGCCAACCACCCAGCGTACTCACTGAGTGGCAAGGCTTTGGGGCATCCCAAAGATTTGGGGAAGGGCAGTGGGAAGGCTGAGGAAGGGAACCTGTGGTTCACCCTCTTTTCCAGAGCTTTGCTTTGCTGGATGCTGAGTGAAGAAATGCCCCTCAAAACGCAGTGGCACTCTCGTGCTTTCCCCTCTCTGCCTGGCCAGTGGTGTGGTGGTGAGCAAGTGAATGCTCAGCTCACTTCCCCTAGTGAATGTGGGTGCCCGGATCGGGTGAGAACACACACCGCACCCCAAGTGCTGCTTCTGGGGTGCTGTGCCAGCTCTGAAAAGACACAGGAGAGGCTGGGGATGGAGGCCTGCCCTTGCTCCCCCCCATGCCTGCCTGATGGTGGGCAGCCGAGGGGTGCTGCCATTTCTGCAGCATCCGTTTGGAGGGCTGCTGTCATCCTCCATCTCCACTGCTGTCCCCTGCCTGTTCCCATCACCAGACAGGGCCGCCTGTCCAGTGGGGGTGAGAGGATGCTCCTGGCCCTGGGAAACAGCAGGGTGGCCACAGGGGTGCCATAGAGCTGGCCCCAGTGGCTGCTCATGCTCCCCAGGAGCAAGCTCAGCTTCAGCTGGAAGAAGCCATCTTCCACCCGATGTGGACATGTGGCTGGGGAAGAGGAACTGGGCTGAACGGTGTTGGCAGCAGGGCTGGGACAGCCGGCGGGGGCTGAGCCACCCATGTGCCTGCCATGGTCCCATATGGACCAGCCAGAGCCGGCTCTGCCTTCTTAACCAGGTTAATTTTTGACCCCGTTCCTTATGCTGATATGCCAGCAAATGTGGTGGCCTGATACCTGCCTGCCTGTGCCGGCGGCCCCATGTCTGTGGAAAACCCCAGCAGTGGGGTGGATTGCAGCTGATGGTGCAGCCTGGGGGTGGTCCAGAGTGGGGCCTTTCCCAAGTGAGACTTGGCATTGCTGTAATAAAACCCCAATGAACCAACGAACCCAAACCGCGTCCACGACCTCCCTTAGAAAAGAGCATGATAAAAATGGCAAAATCGCCGCGTTCTAAAGATTTACGGCTCGTTCTGGAAAGTGTCCACAGAGCGTGCCAGCAGGCTGCTGCTGGATTGTGGGTTGATTTTAAGATAAAAACCCTCCTCTGTAACCGTCCTCGCAGCGCTGAGCTCGACCGGCACAAATATAGCAGCTACGTCACGTGGTGGAAAACTCGCTGTCAGTGGTCTCTGCAGTACGTGGTGGCTCCTTGGGCTGCGCTGCCTTTAAGCTGAGACCTCCGCACCGGTGTGGGTTTGCCCATCTGGTGCAGGGTGAGATGGGGGCAGCCCTGATGGGGTGGGACCCTATGAAGAGGACCCCTCTCCCACTGTGGGATCAGTTCAGGAGCGTGCTGGCGGCTTATATGGCTGCAGCTTGCTGTAAAAGGCAGAAGTGTGTTAGCCTGGCTGCCGGCTGGTGGGCTCGCTGCTCCGGTGCCTTATCTGCCCTTGCATACCGACAGCCAGTAGAGAACAGGTTTGCTTGCTCTGGAGGCGAACCAGTGCAGAAATCTGGTGTTTGTGCATCGAGACTGGGTTTGTTTGGGTTGTGTTTTTTTCCCCTTTCCAGAAGAACAGCTTGGATTCCACTGTCCTTTTCCTTTGTTGTCCTGGTCGGCAGCGCCGGGCTCCCACGCTGTCTCATCCCTTGTGCCTAGTCCAGCTTTTCCTTCCCCACGTGGAGAGGAGAGAGGTCTGCAGAGGCCGAGCCCTGCGTTGGTGCCTTCACTGGAGGCAGCAGAGACACAAGCACTGTGTGATTAACTGCTGACAAGTCTCTCCATGGTTTGAGGAGGTGTATTTACGCAGCAGAGAGCGTTTCTGCTTTAGACATTGATGTCAGCAAAGCTCAGCTGCCGGAGCCTGAGCTGCTCCTGTAGCATATGGGAATTAAGGCGAACCGTCTCCCTTTCCTCCCCTTTCTTGTGTCTTTAGCACCTTCCCTGCTGAGCACTGTTGTTGTAATAGCTCAGGAGTGTCAAGTCTTGAGCGTTCATCCTCCTGTGGGGTTTTAGCCCCTGTGGAGGGGGGCCTGATTTTGGGTGGCTTGAGGAGGGCAAGAGGATGCTGCAGAAATGGCTGGCCATGGGCTGGCTCCTCTCAGTTCCTCTCTGCTGCTCAGCGTCTTCCCCTCCCCTTCCTCCATGGTCTCTGACCTTGTCCTGTCAGGGGCATGTTCTCCTTTTCCTGTGGAGGGACGGAAAGCAGCTTTATGCTCAACTCAAGATTATTTTTAGACGTTGAGAAGATGGCCCGGTGACCACAGCAGCCTGCCCTGCACATGCAATATTCATAAAGCCCTTTATGCAGCAGGGTGTTCCTCGTCCCCGTGGCTCCGCAGCTTTGCTGGTGCTTCCGGATGGAGGGCAGCGGCACAGGCGGGCGCCTCTTCTGCCTCTTCCCCCCTTGACACCAGTCTCGCTTGCTCCGGACCTGAAATGCATTTCATTCCTCGTCAGCGGAGCCGTGGGGGCCGCGGGCCTCCGCAGAAACATTGCAGAACGGCTCAGGAATGCAGAGCTGGAGCCGCTCCATGTGCTGGTGGAGGCGGCACACTCCCCTGTCCCTGCCTCCCATCCCGCACCACCAGCATGGCTTTACGGCTGTGCAGGAGCAGGACCCTTGCCCTCTGACTCACTGCTGGACAAAATCAGATGCAGGAGCTCTTTATCCATCACAGATTGTGCCCCT